AGTAGAGGTAGATGTCAGTGTGGTCAGTGAAGGTGATCAGTAGAGGTAGATGTCAGTGTGGTCAGTGAAGGTGATCAGTAGAGGAAGATGTCAGTGTGGTCAGTGGAGATGGTTAGTAGAGGTAGATGTCGGTGTGGTGACTGAAGGTGGTCAGTAGAAGTAAATATCAGTGTGGTCAGTGGAAATAGTCAGTAGAGGTAGATATCAGTGTAATCAGTAGAGATGGTCAGTACAGGTAGATATTAATGTGGTCAGCCGATATGGTCAGTGGAAGTAGATGTCAGTGTGGTCAGTAGCGGTAATCAATATAAAAGGATGTCAGTGTGGTCAATTGAAGTGGTCAGTAGAGGTAGATGTTAGTGTGGTCAGAAAAAGGTGATCAGTAGAGGTAGATGTCAGTGAGGTTAGTGGAAGTGATCAGTAGCGGTATATGTCAATGCGGTCAGAGGAAATAGTCAGAAGAAGTAAATGTCAGAGGGGTCAGTAGAAGTGGTCAGTATAGATAGATATCAATGTGGTCAATGGAGATGGTCATTATAAGTAGATGTCACTGTGGTAAGATGCGGTCATCAATACAAAAGGATGTCAGTGTGGTTAGTGAAATGGTCAGTGGAGGTAGATGTCAGTGTGGTCAGTGAAGATGATCAGTAGAGGAAGATGTCAGTGTGGTCAGTGTAATGCTCAGCGGAGGTAGATGTCAGCGTGGTCAGTGAAGGTGATCAGTTGAAGAAGATGCCAGTGTGGTCAGTGGAATGGTGAGTAGAGGTAGATATCAGTGTGGTCAGTAGAAGTGGTCAGAAGAGGAAGATGTCATTGTGGTCAATGGAGATGGTTAGTAGAGGTAGATGTCGGTGTGGTGAGTGAAGGTGGTCAGTAGAAGTAAATATCAGTGACTCAGTGGCGGTGCATGTAGTGCTATATATATCAATATGGTCAGTGGAAATGGTCAGGAGAGGTAGATATCAGTGTAATCATTAGAAGTGGTCAGTACAGGTAGATATTAATGTGGTCAATGGATATGGTCAGAAGAAGTAGATGTCAGTGTAGTCAGTGGCGGTGATCAATATAAAAGGATGTCAGTGTGGTCAGTAGAAATGGTCAGGAGAGGTAGATATCAGTGTAGTCAATAGAAGTGATCAGTAGAGGTAGATATAAATGTGGTCAATGGAGATGGTCAGAAGTGAATACAATTTTTTTGTTTTTTGTTTGTTTGTTTAATATATGTCTTAAGGTCTAACATGTTTTGTATTCAAATTACGTTAGCCAATATCTAAGACGTCGTTTAAAGATTTGTCTATTTTTACCCTTTTTGTCCTACTCCAAGGTACTTGAGAAACAGCGAACAATACATATTACATATATCTATCTATCTATTTATTTTGTTGTATTTATATTTAAATTGTATTATGTTTCTAAAGTTATTTTTGGTCAAAGATATATGTTTATTGCCCGAGGTCAAATACGCAGCATCATATCAAAACGAGGTTATACTAGATTTGTCCCCAACCGCCGGTATCAATAAAGAAGAATAGATGATTACCTGATACAAAGAGGATCATGGGGCCTAATTCAAGCACACGGCACTCTGCCCTCACACAAATCGTATTAAAAGAAGGCTACACGAACATAGTTGAAGTGGAGACACAACTTGTATTCTACATGATCGTAAATATTAGATGAATCAAAAGTACAGCATATGATTCTAAAGAAAACTATATTTGAAAGTGACATACCAAGGGCAAAGGTACAGGGCTTTAGTTCTACAAAAACACACAAACATAAGATACAATATTGATCCATACCAGGGGCACACGCTTAGAAACTACACATGTGTATGTGGATTGAAAGACGTACAGCGGTTCGCTGCATATCATTATTGAGAGTGTAGGTCGACACTACTACCTATTACATAATACATCGTGATAAAAATAAAACCACGCCATAAACATACGCGTATATACCTCCAGTAAACATTGGAAATACCCTATTGTAACGTCTTTCGCATTACCCTATGTGAAACGAAAGCACAGGTATGGATTTCCACACGGATCTTTAAATAGTGCAGTTGTCATTTCCGTTGTTGTAAATTTATATATCGAAGCTATTGTCAATCGACAGGCCATATGAGAGCCAGTCGGCACGGGGTCAGGGAATTGCAAGACACCGGATCAAGCGCTCATTCTGATACCGCGAACATGACAAAAACAGTCACTGATTACGTAACATAATGTGTTCGTAATGTGAAACGTGGTGTGACAACATGATTTGAACAGAAATATTGCCGAATTTTGTGGTGATTTTATCACAGTACACAGTACAGGTAACAGTCCGACAATATCCACAGCGATAGAAAGTCCTATAAAAACAGCACCTACTCGGACTGTTCATGCTGTGTTACACAATATCCCGAAAATCTACGTCGAATTTAGGAGTACTTCTTAGCTAACCAAACTTTGGTAAGTTATTTATTTTCTGTAATTAAATAATATATAACCTCCTATTTCAAAAAAGTAGCCTAGTGATCAACAAATTCTTGAGGAGGGATAACTTGTCACACCATTATTTGGGCAAGTTCTGGCTTATCCGTTTCTTCTGTTTAAATATATGACTTATAACCAATATATGCACAAGTATTGATAACAAAAAATATTTCTTTGACTAGAGTTTTAATTACATAAAACAAACGTTTTGTTGTGGTGGTCTTGTTTTTCACCCAAACATTTTGCACATTTCCTTTTATACAAAATGTATTGCCTTTCTCGCAAGCAAGCTCCAAATCATATCATGTCAAAAATAGGTCAGCTATACTTAAGAAAGGAAGTCATTAAGGAAGTAACCTTTGAATTAGCTATAAAGCCGAACCTCTCCACCACCTAACTAATCATTACTTCAGTTAATATCATCGGCCAATGGATATCCTATATACAATATTTTGTCAAATTGTATACCTTTAGTCATACATAGAGTTTATACTAGATTTTTTTTATTCAAATAAAAACTTTAATTTCTCTTTCGAGTTAAGCCTACAATCACAATATGAGCTAAACTTTTTATTTATGAATTATCTTTGCCAAATGACCACTATTTCTCATTTTTGGGCACAACCCACTGACCAAAAAGATGTTCCGTACCATGTTATTGAATAGGCTTAATTCCGTAACCCCGTACTTAAATTGCCCCTATTCCCTATCACCCGTTGTTATTTTACCTTATTTCTGAAACGAGTTATTTTATAAACTACATTATTAACACCAGTAGCTGTGAATGCAGTGGCGGACCCATGGGTGTTGTCCTAGTTTTTTCTGGACCAAGGTTTTTGAAGATTTTCTTCTCTTTTATATGTGATTTCCTTCTAATATCAACCATCCCATGAACAATGATTTTCTATGGGTTCCCCTTCAGTGGTCAAGACTCACCGGACTGACTCTTACTAATCTTATTGTTATAAATGTCACGGTGTGGTGATCACACTGTCAGATGGGAAAGGACTATACCATCTTTTGGCATTAGGTATATAAGTCAAGTGATATTTCAAAGGTAGAGTCCATTTCATGATAGATAAAACTGTATTTTCACCTGTGATTTCATGTACACATGATCACCAGGAGTAATTTATTAAACCAATTAAAAACAAAATCTATTTTTTTAAAGATACTAAAGCATTGTCCTTAGCATCACTTTATAAGGTGAAAAATAACCAATGTTAGCATAAAAGCCTAGCATGTATATCCTGTTCATTAGGTATTGCCCTTGTACATATGTATGCGAACACATTCACAATAAAGACTTCCGTTGATCACACGGGAATCTACCTCTACTGACCATATTGACAAAATGAATCAATATGCGCTTGAAATAGTTTAGTATAATGACATCTTCAGATTTGTTTTTATAATTGTCACAATCTCAGAAATAATGAAGTTCTATATATATTGTTATGCGCCAGAAAACAGTATACATGTACAACCGGGTCCCCACTCCCCTGGATTGGAAGTTGAATAAAACAAGATTTAAATTACACTTGAAGCTTGAAGCCTTGTTTTAAACATTTGAAAGATGTTAAAGAAACCCTTAGTTTACGCGACATTGATTTCCAAAGATCAACAAAGTTTAAGCACTATAATGAAATACATTCTGTAGGAAAGCAGTCATGGTGCAGAACTGATTTAACAACCGATCATTCAGCTAGATGACCACTTTTTCCCTGTTTATGTTCCTTCATAGAATGGAGTATAATTACGAGATTATGTCAGGTTTGATATAGAGAAGATATCACACTTGGCAAAAGGATAACCTGGTGCTTTCGGGTAGTTTTTTTTTTTTTTTGATAAGTTTGAAGCCAAAAAACATTCTTTATGTGTTTCGGAAACCAAAGGTTAGAACGAATTAAATAATCATACAGAACATGATATATATTTACAGGATTTGTGACCTACTACTAAAATGGCCGATCAGGGTGAGCAGTACGAGAAGTCTTGGATTCTACATCATATCCTCAACAGGTTTATAGGAAACCGGGAGACAGTGGCCGTCAGGAGGAGGATGACAATTCTGCGTGACAATCTGCACAATTTTGGCAATCATGGAATCGAATGGTTTTTCACAGGAAGTTTGGCCGAGGGCCTTGATATGGTAAGCTCCGACAGGGATATTATGCTTGTTGACACTACTGTGATAGTTACGTGTCCTTTTCATGACTCTAACAATCCATCGGACAGCACAGACAGAACAGTTGTTGTAATGAAAGAGGCTGACAACAGACCTGGTTATGTGACACTGGAATTAGTTAATCCTGAACAGGCACACAGCGAAAGTATTATGCTATCCATTGTTCCCGTTGGTGATGTTCTGAACATCTCAGGTGTTCATACACAATCATTAGCGGAAACGTTTAGTTCTTCGATGGTGGAAACTCTGAAAACTGTGTGCTCATTTCCGTATACTAAATGGCCACGAGAAGCTAACGAGTGGGTGAATCGGCCTCGTCTGCATGGATGGCCGGAAAAGGCGTTGAGAGATGAGATAGTACAGGGCGGTTGTTATCTTGTCCATGTGGGGGATATATCGTCTCCTGATACATTCCTACAATGGCGGATTTCATTTACAACTGCAGAAAGGAAACTTATTCATTCTCTTTCACATACACAATTTCTAATATATGGACTTCTCAAGTACATCCTCAAGCAAATATCAGACAGGTTTAAGCAGCAAATGGGGGAGGCAGATGTTCTATCATCCTATATTATAACAACAGTTATATTTCATGCCGTGAAAAACACGCCTGGTTCATTATGGCAAGAGAGAAATACATTTGTCTGCTTCTTGCTTTGCTTGAAGATTTTGATCGGATGGGTTCATGCTGGACATTGCCCAAATTACTTCATTAACGGGAACAATATGTTCAATGGCAAAGTTCACGGTGAAAACCAACAGAAACTTCTTTCAATCCTCACTGAGCTCCATGATATGAAATGGGGATGTCTTTCCGTTGGATCAGTCATACGTCCAACAATAGGAGACAGAAGGCATCGCGTGATGAATGGCGCATGGGGATATCCACTTCTTTCACCAACCAATTCAGAAATGAAGAGTGACATGAAGATATTCATTGAAGCATTTGCTATAGCAATGGTGTGTACACCTTATGTGGCACTGGCTCTACTGTCGAAATCAAAGGAAGACATTGATGAATTCGTGGCCTACCTTACCACAGTGCATGCACTGGCGTTTACAGGAATATATACTTTAGAAAAAACATATTTTTGCTAAAGGAAATAAAGAGAAGTACAAACACTTTAGGAAAAGCAAAATCCTCATGACACCATTTTCCTTGGTGTGCACAAGTCCTGGGCTGATGACGCTGGCAACATATCACTACCAGACTGGAAACTACACGAAAGCACTTGAGATGTGTGGACATATGATATCTTCATTCAAAATCTGTGTTTGTGAATTGAGGTATGTGAAAAATAAGTTGACGACTCGGTATGAACATATGTATTGTGGGCATGGATACACCCTACTACACAAATGTCAGGAAGTATGTGTATCACTTGTGGAATTTCCACGAAATGGTTTACAATTCTGTCCATCCCAGTTACACCCCGAATTGACAAGCACTGATTCGGATGAAGTGCTTTCAATTCCTCCACTTCCCTATGCTGTGTTCCTAACATTCCTATGTTATCATGAGCTTGGCGACACGAGAAGACGCGACGCAGCATTGATTCACCTTCGAGCCGTGAAGTATGAAGAGGAACAGGGAGGTGGTAAGCACTGGATAGTCCACAATCTCTTGGGGATATGTTATGAAATGGTTGGGGACACACGCAGAGCTCTCAGGGAATACAGGGACTCTCTGTGTGTACTTGACCAATCCAGTAACCCTGCCAGGAAGAGGATAGAAGGATTGCAATATTCACAGTAAAGAAAAACATGGAAGTATTAATGTAATTCAGAGACTCTGTCGTAACAACATCGATGCAATAAACCATAATCCGTATTAATTTGGTCATCGTGCTTACCAAGTATTTGTTGATGTTTAATTAACCCTATGATTATACTACAGTATTCATCGTTCAATAGAATAGCATTCTGTATATAAGCAATGCATTGGTTTTACTATTTTTTTAATGTATAGCTTAATAAGGAACATTGAACAATATATGTTTTCAATGGTCATGTACAAAATTATCTTTAATCTTTCAAATTTCACATGACTATGATAGCATCATATATGTTTGCCTTTATTTTGATTAAAACAAACAAGGTTATACATTTCGTAAAAAATAACATTGTTCTATTCGTTAGTTTTGTAGTGCTGTTTGTCTATATGAGTTCTATTCTGGATAAAATGTGCTATTATCTACATAATCTGCTTAAATTATTGTTTTTTATAAGAGAGTATGTGAAAAAGGGCCAAGACTTGTTATTAACTCTAAGCAAGTTATATATATTTGTTGACTGTTAGACGGACATGTTTACCTGTTTTTGCCGGCTTGATGATATTCAATTAAAAATATCCACATAAATTGATCGGTGTCTTTACGAACTTTCTCCAATAATGCTTATATTATATCGATACGGCACATTCAATCGTTGTGATTTATTGTGTATACGTGTCGAGATATATGTGGCATTGTTTACCTGAAACCTGTTAGCATATTGGGATATAATATAACATTTTAACGCGAAATAAATCCGCTTTTTCGGAAGTTAGAAAAAAATCAATGTTCATTCACGATAACTTGATTTAATGCTGTCGCCTTTTTTTAGTATACATAATTTGCATAAGCTTGCTTACTTATAGATAGATTTGTTTGCTTGTCTTGTGTCGGCTCGTTGATATCAAATTTCTGATTGACTTGGGCATCTTTGAAATAATAGTTCATGTTAGTTTGTTTGTCATAAATATCATAAACTATCGCGTTATGTAAAAGAATATAGAATGGTATCGGTGGGTATCTCAAGGATCACCATCAAACTATACATTATGTTTATTTCATATAAGGTGTCTATGAATCGGTGGATGCGCACATTCGCGGGACGTGCAACTTCATTGGACAGACACCTGCAATTGAGATCGCTGCATATGAATATTAAAATACCTTTTAAATAAAGGTTGATCCATAACAACAATGGGGTCCAAACTCCAAAAATTTTTTTTTCGAGAATCTTAAAAATTCATCGCCGGCGCTGACATCGCATTTAAGTGTAGGTTTTGTCATATTTTATCTTTAGCAAATTTATTTCTATTATGATAAGTCCTGTTGATCGCGTATAAATTCAATAACAAAGCGAGGGTTATTGAACGTACACAATCAATACTAATTGTATTATCTGGCAATCATTATTGGCATCACCATTTTAATTTTCAATCGGACCTATCTGGCTTTATCAAAGAAATGAATGACAAATACTCGAAGATGACTACACCAGGGCGACTTTTGTTTAGTAGCGACCGCTTTTTGTATCGTACGCGTGGTATATATACATAGTTCAAGCAAAAGGCTATATATAATAACAAAAACGAAACTACAATACTATGCGATTATTTTTTCTTTACATCGTGCAGAACGGTCTTTAAAATTTGCGACGCTGAGATTGGTTATTAATAGATCTGAAGCTAAACAACCGCCGTTTTAAACATCTCTTTGAAATATAAAACATGTTTCAAATCGTATCTTATTTACGTGAACTTTGCAAACGTATTCGTTATGGTTTAAAGTGTTTCTTCCTTAAAGCGGGTTTAACCATTTAGGTTATCGACGTTTGTGACGAATCATAAATTTCGCAATAAAAATATGTGACGTTTGAAAATCGCGGGCTTCAAAATTTGGTTGAAATAGACCGGAACCGAAAACTTCTCAGGGAAGCGTGCAATCGACTCAAAGGTCTACCGATTTCAACATGTGTTTGTCACTCTTTCAACAAGAAAACAACAGTCAGCTTCACGAAAGCTAGGCCTGTGCAAGTCTAGTTACTTCGGTGCAAAGGAGAACCGGTAAGACGAAGAGTGTCTTTGTTTATCAACGACAATGCTGATGAGCCGTCTGAATACATGTATGTACGCGCATGTATGGTTTAAAAGTAAGTATGCGTAGCCTACTTTGTCAGTTCGTGTCTGTGTCACAACATGACTCATCCGTCCCCTCTCCACCCTGGTGCGATTTGCTTCAAGTCAGTCGGTTCAATCACAGGGGTTCGTTACAAATGTCTACAATACACATATGCTATACTGATATCGGTCACAGAACACATAATGCTGTGATCCATATAAGCATATCATATTGTGTATTTCAGACATTTGTAACGAACTGATCCCCTGTGGTTCAAGGTGGGAAGTCGAGGGGGATTCGATATTCATTTATATATCTAAAAAGATGGCAGGCCAATTGCTAGTAGTTTGTAATGTGTTAAGGAAAATGCATTGCCATGCTTTTCAAATGCACAACATGTATTTAGACGTGTTGAAAAATGTTTCTTTTGACAAGTAATTTCATCAGTTTTGTCTCTTCTATTTAATTAAGTACAACGAAACTTACAACATTAAGCATTCCATACAGTCCCCTTTACATGTACAATGTCTTTTACCATTAACGTTATTATTTCTAATATCTGTTCTACCCTTTAATTGTATTTATTTAATGAAGACGTTAATTGCACTTATTTTTTGTAAACAAATGATATATGGTAATAAATGATAAATGATAAATGCATACTTGCCAACCTTTTGATTTTTTGTATCGGAGAGAAGCCGTGTGCTCAATATCAGATATTACAAAACATGAATAATTATAAAAGATGTGTATATGCCCCCTAGGTGAAAACACAGTTTAGGGTGTCAATCGTCTTTTTAGTTGTTCTTTCTGATGAAATCAATGGGTATCAGAATAGTTGAGCAAGTTTACTGGCTGAAAATGATCAATCCTAGCACGAACTTAGATAGCAATATAATTCTGTAGTTTGACCTATGAGTCGAAAGGTGTTAAGGGGACGTAACTCACGAGATCTGGAAAAATATGGTACATGTAGAAATGATTCGTCATTTCACCAAGGAATTAGATTAGACCTAGGTCAATTACTTTGAATATTTTTTATATGGTTCCCTTTTCGAAACGTGTGAATTAATCTGTTCTTAAATATGAAAATGAAAAATTGATTAACTGGTTACATGTAACGTTTTATTCAATTTTCACCCACATGAATAATCCATTCAGATATGTGGTCACAAACACTAGCTATAGACCAATGCTATACCTGGTCACAAACTCTACCTATATGTCATTGATATGTCTGGTCACAAACTCTAATTTTACTATAAACCACTGAGATACCTGGTCACAGTCACTAATTATAGTTCACTGAGTTACATGTACCTAGTCACGCATAGTAACAGACGCACTACCTTTGGACAACAGAAATACCTGATCACAAAAATAGTATAGTTCTTTGAGATACCTTGACACAAAAACTTACTATAAATCACTGAGATACCTGGTTACCAACTCGTACTATAGACCACTGAGATACCTGTTTACAAACACTTATCATAGACCATTAGGATGCCTGGTCACAAACACCTACATTAGACTATTGACGCAACACTTCCTCAGAGATCAAGTCCAGTCAAGATAAATATTTGTTTTAAATGTCACGTTTGTGAGGTGTTTACATAATTGAGTTATTAGTTTGTAAACACCTCAAGGACGAGCAATGCTCTAATATGTTATTTGTTTCCATAGCCTTACGTATCGAGATAAACACAGGTGTCAAAGTTAAGTGTATAATTTACAAAATTAGATAACATGTAGTATGACAGGTTTTGAGTGTATTGTATTGGAGGTAAGTTAAAAGCCTTACGGCTGTGAACACGTCAGATTTGTTTTCAGAAGCTGAAATCATTAATATCAATTTGTCTTGAGCAAAGCTAAATAATTTCATAACTGACGCACCCTTAAAGCTTTTAACTTTTATATGTATTAAAGTGGGTATCCAATAAAGTGTGTTATAGTCATATGAATACCATATCTTCCGTTGTCGATTACCTTTTAGATTAATTTTAGAGATAAAGTTTGAAGACGCTTCACGATCTGTAGATTGTTTTACACAAGTGTGCCACGCCACCGGTCGTAAAAAATCAATTTATCATACCTCGGTCATTTTTCAGTCAAATGTATTGAGGGTACCGAGTTTCTTTGATACCCTCAATTTGTATAAGGTTTTTGAATGTGCATAAACAATGGATTCGATAAAAAGTGTTGCTGTTATTTACTGGTGTAAAGGTTTATTACTACTCGAAAGTATCCCGAAACCTAGCCCCTGTAGATTAACATTTTCTGATTTCGCTCACTTTATAGGTTAATTTTAGAAGTAATATCTGAAGACGCTTCAGGATCTCTGGAGTTCTATCAAAAAACGAGTGGCACGCCGACGATAGTAAAAATTCATTTCATCAAAACTCGGTCATTTGTTCAAACACCTAGCTGAAATTTAGATTATTTACCAATACAAGTCTTATGAATGACAATGTCCTCTTAAGTCGCTTATGTTTAAAGATGTTGCCTGGCGATGCATTTTTAACTGTACAGGTTAGTAAACACACTTGCACTGCCGCCGACCGTAAAATTAAATTCATCATAACGCGGTCAATTTTTCAAATATAGAATTGAAATTGAAATATAGTGATATGAACAACATATCATCTGTTGTCGCTTACTTTATTCGGTATTTTTTAAAGATTGTGTCTGGCGACGCATGTTGTCATTTGAAGACCCTTGTTGTCGATTGAAGACGCTTTTAAGGAGGACCCAAACTTGGGAGTCTCAGGTCAGCATCTCAGGAAATCACATTGTTTGGCAATGCAAGCCTAAAACAACTGTGTCATATTGAATGTACAGTAATAGCTTCTAGCCAGGTTATTACTTCATTAACATCCATGTTAGAAGATTTCCTACACTGTAAATATTTTTTTAGAAATCTTCTTAGAGATTTAGGATATTTCAACATAAACAAAATTAATATGAAAGAACATGTTATCATTTCACCATTTTGATATTTAAATACTAGTATATGATATATCTTAAATTGAAATATATTGTATGGATGTTCTTATTATGGGAATTTAAGGCTTTTTTCCCCTGTCAACTACAAGTAAATGTAGAGATTCAAATGGGGAGAACTGTGATAACTTGTCATGAATAATCTTATGTACAGATTTTAATTGCATGCACAAGTATATGTGTGCACTCTATTTCTTGACAATTATATTGCAGAATCATAATTGATATTAATGGAAAATTAAGAAACTTTTTACTTTGAACTGGTATATATCTTGAAATAAAAGAAAATCTTAATACTTTTTTACACTTTGCAAATTGTAGTTCTGAGCCTGGCATACACTTGGTTAATACCGGTATATTAATTTCCAATGTGATAAGAAAAGCAGAGGAGGAATGTAAATATAAATGCAAAGGTTAAAATAAAAAAACCAAAATGCAAATAAATCTTGAAAGAAAAGGTCAGTTGTGCTATAAATATTTCTATAGTGTAGTGGTCATCACACACGCCACTCTATGGTGGGAGACCCAGGTTCAAATCCTGGTGGAAATAATAGGACAACTTGAAATGATATAAATACTGCAAACATATATAAACACAAGCAACTAGTTATATACAACTCATTTTCCATTACTTGGTACATTTTATATAAATATATGTATCATTGTTAATTTGTTCTTAACTGCATACAACAACAGGACATTCGAACATCTTGGTAGGCAGTGAGTATTACATTTATGATTTGTGAACTTAAGCTAGAAAATGGATTTTTTTAGTTAACAAAGTATTGGTGTTGACCTCTTGTGAATGCCTTTTGTCCGTCATAGTAACCATTTCAGTTATTTTTTGAAGGAAAGTTCAATAGTCAAATGCAAGCCAAATTTATAAATTACATGTGGATCTAATCTGCCAGGGGTTTGAGCCCAAAAGAGGTCAAACTGACTAAATTTTCAACAGTCTTCTTATTCAGGCACAGAGATGCTAAAATCAAATACTCTTCATAGATGGAAAGGTCCTGTAGGCCTCTTTCAAATTTATGATTATTTTGCTGCCACTGGATCATTCATTCCTCCCTGAGTAAGGGTAAATATCTAGGCTAAAACAAAAACAAAAATATTCAGGCAACATTCCAGAGAAAAATAGGGTTGGTTAGTAAACAGGCAATTTTATTTAAGATTTTAAATTTTCATGGATCAATATATACTTACAGGGTATTAACAAATTTAAGAAAAAATAATTTCTATGCATTTCAATTGTTATTATTCTGTCAAGAATGTGGCCAGGATCACATGACCATAACAGGAAGAAAATGCATGTAATCTTTGCCGGACTATCAAAATGATCTTCATGGATACAAAGTAGGTGATAAATTGTTCCCTAAGGTCCACAGGAAAAAATTAAGGTAGGTCATGATCAGGTTATCCGATGCATATGTAAATCTTGTTTTTGGCCTTACTGTTATTTAAAGTTGGTTGGAATTACTATCATGTCACTGAATTTTGATGGTATGAAAATTAAGAACCTGGCCCTTCCCTAGGACCTAAACGGAGGCGCCAAAGAGGGCAAATTGGCTGAAATTTCAACAACATTTTTCTTCAGAACCAGATATGCTAGAATCAAACTCTCTTCATGGATGGAAACGTCCTAAGTCGCTATATCTGAAATTGTTATTTCATTACCCCCGTGTAATTCATTCCCTCACTCTATCATTTTTTTCTGATCAGCAATATATACCGTATGTCAGACAAGTATGTACCCGCCAAAAATGATATATCAATAATATATGTTGGTCACTCCCAATATGAATTTCTCTCAAGGAATTCAAAACACCTGTTTTTGATTAAATGAACTTTTGTTCTTTTTTGTTTGATTTTTATATCACTACAACAAATAACATAATTGCATTACAATTTTGGTCCATGTATCTCTTGTATAACTTGTTGAGATCACTGTTGTATATTTATCATTTCTGTGTTGTAATTGCAATGGTCTTGTTTATATCTATTGCTGCATCTGGCTTCTGAAGATACTGGCACAGTGGTATCATGCTTTAGGTTCAAAATGTATTCACGTTATAATGTTTTCTTACTTTAAAATGTAAATGATTAAATTGTTTTATCATTTGATAATTCAAAAGGAATGGATATTGCAGCCATTGCTTCTCCAATATTGGAATATTGAGAAATTGAATGCTGGTTTAGAGTTACAAAATGGAAACCATAATTGTATATAATTGCTTAATATTGATTTAGAATAATCTTTTATAACTACTTAATACTGATTAAGAATCTTTTTGAGCTAATTTAATTGCGTTTTCATGTCACCTACAGACCAGGTAAAGCTTGTAAATGAAGGATGCTGTATTCATCAGTTGTTTATTGTTTGTCTGACTGTTCTTAGAAATGATCATGCTTTAGGTTCAAAATGTATTCACGTTATAATGTTTTCTTACTTTAAAATGTAAATGATTAAATTGTTTTATCATTTGATAATTCAAAAGGAATGGATATTGCAGCCATTGCTTCTCCAATATTGGAATATTGAGAAATTGAATGCTGGTTTAGAGTTACAAAATGGAAACCATAATTGTATATAATTGCTTAATATTGATTTAGAATAATCTTTTATAACTACTTAATACTGATTAAGAATCTTTTTGAGCTAATTTAATTGCGTTTTCATGTCACCTACAGACCAGGTAAAGCTTGTAAATGAAGGATGCTGTATTCATCAGTTGTTTATTGTTTGTCTGACTGTTCTTAGAAATGACCATGCTCTTTGCAGGTCATAAAAAGATGAATACACATACTAACTGTGATTGGTCCCAGGGTCCTGTCACCCCAGCATGGTGACCTTATAACATTGAAATGGTTGAAATAAGTGTCCTATAATGAAAAACACCAACTGGCAATCCGGAGGCACGGTAGTCTAGTGGTAGGACACTGGGCTCGTGACCAAGGGGTTGCGGGTTCGAGTCACGGCACGGCACTGTGTTGTATCTTTGAGCAAGATAGTTAGTTGTAACATCATCAGTTCCTTTGTTTGTGTGTACTATATCTATGTAAATTCTCTACACTGTAACCAGTTTGCAAGATTAAAAACTTGTCATTGTCATTATTAATTGTGTGTACTTAGAAATTACCATGCTCTTTGCAGGTTATGAAAAGATTAATACACTCGAACTAACTGTGATTGCTCCTGGGATCATGTCACTCCAGCATGGTGACCTTATAACATTGAAATAGTTTAAATAAGTGTCCTATAATGAAACATACCTACTGGCAATCCATAGACAACTACCAAAATTTTCCTCATGTCTGTTACCACCCAAGAATACAATTATGCTAGCCCCATCAAAGGGTCGTACATGGCCGATACATACAACATAATAATTAGTGAACTATAGTTCGAAGATTGTTTCGAAAAAAACAAATGCAACCCTAACTTATGTTTCAAAGTAAACACTGGCATTTTTTTACTTGCCTGGGGCATACGGCTTGGCAATTTAGTCAAACATGTATTTTTTTATGAACTGACCTTACTGACCTCACAGTGTCCTATATGATTTGACATTTTACCTTACATTTTGAAAAAGTTGGACTGGTGCATGTCTTCTTTACTATTTCAACTGCAGTAACCATATTTAGTGTACAGGGACATCTTTAGATGGCGGAGTAAAGAGTGCAAGATGTAGGTCATTGTGACGTATGACTTGACATTTGACCTTTTCTTTTGAAATTATTTGTACGGGACATATGCTATTTCACCTGGAGTAACCAGATTTGATGAACAAGGACATCTTGGGAAGTGAAGTAGGTCACTATGACCTCACTGTGACCTATATGCTTCCTGACAAAAGTGTACTGTTTGTGTATATAAATTCGTACCGGTGGTCATAGGGGTCGATGTATTGCCATGCAATACTTTGCCATGTTAATACATATTTTCTATACACAGTAGATCATATTTCTTTAATTTTGTCTTGAGCAAATTTTGCCCTAAATGGATCAGACAATATATTGACAAGGGTGTTAAAATAATAGTAAATAAATAACAACAAAAATACCTACATGGAATATCTGACAGGTTTTCTTATTTATTAAATTTTTTGAACTGACATTCATTTTTTTTAATGGAAGAACATTCAGCGCACGTATGTCCTAAGGAGGGATTCTGTTCGTTTTGTTACCCGAAAGTTCTTAGCTGGGGCGCTGCAGGCTCCCGAGATCTACACTATTATCACATAGGTTACTGAACTATGTGAGCTGGCTTATATGCAGTGCCTATTTCATATTAAATGTTACGGTTTGATCTCTCAAGAGTACTATCTTTTATGATATACCAATCAAAAAGAAAATACAACTACATTGGGTTTACAAAGCTATATATCTCGGTTTATATACACGGCCAGATTAGACGGCACTGTAGTGGTCAGCAATCGGACACTGTCCAACCTCGACAATCCAGGGATTACACTCACTTTCGCTCTCTGCACCCCTGAACTATGTCAAAGCAAACTTTTAGACAAAACTGACCAATCGCTATGCTGATACCTGTCCTTTGAAGATTACAAAGGGGGGACACCCGACTTCAAATCCTGTAAATCTTTACCGTTGAGTGACCGTGAGATTCTTTTGATGCGAAAGTGAGTGTAGCCCCTGTATTAACGAGAATGATTGCAATCGGACATTGTCAGTCACAAAACAGTTCAAATGACGATATAGTTTAAGACGCGTATTTCTCCTTTATTGTACATGTTCTGACTTTGTTTATAAGCGAAGAGTTTTGATTGATACTTTGCGTGATCTGTATGCTGTTTTCGATATTGAAATGATTTTATGGGTGACATTGATGCTTACTCGTATGATACATAGAGTTCTATTGCAAAGTCGTTTCAAACATTTAAAAAAAAATAACAAAAACGATTTGATATTATTTGGCGTAACCAACTACACTAGGCGCCAGGCCTGAACTTCAATATCTCTTTTGTGTTTGCCCATTACGTTTTTTCATATCAATATATATAGGATCTTACAATAGTTTCAATTTCATATGAGATTTATGAAACGATTCTAAGGATTTTTCAGTTTAGCGAGCCTCCGGCAAGTTTCATAAATGATATATAGAAAAACGAGTGTAAGATCCTGTTCATCACATAATAAGATTTGTGGCATTCATTCGTATAAAACGACAGTTTTCATGCAACCTTAAAATGCAAAATGCTGCCATTTTTACTCAAGTGCGTAAGTATGTGACGTCATGTACTTGTACTAGGCGTGACGTCACAATTAAAATAATTGCAACTGACAACCAATCACAAAGCTGATCGGTCATATTACATGAGTTAAATAATATGACGTGGGTATATTCACTGGATTATGCATTACATTATGTGATATATATATATATTGTTCTTCTCTGCACTTTTCCGTTACTGTAAATGTATTTTGTACCTCACGTAATGTTTCTGCAGTTCTTAATGTTATTATATGAATAATATGCAATAATTTGCAAAACTGTATTTCCTTGTCAATGTCCAATAAAACACGTTTAATCAGGGTACATAGGTATATTCAATCCAATATATTCAAAGAGGTCGTACTATTCGCGGAACAACCGGTTTGTCCGTTTTTAATGTAACATTACAGGTATTAACCCTGGCGGACTTGCAGATGTTTATGCCGGTCTTGCAAGGCTTTGTTTAGGCTCGTCTGAAAGCAGCATTAGATTACTTGGTCCGACCTTATCTAATAAACGAACAACTTTTGTTCAACCGTTTAACTGAACATAGCTCTGGTTTCTGCATTTCCGAAGTTTCATATGAGAGAAATTTGTGCGCTTATCAGACCAAAAAATTACATTACATAGCATTAACATTATTTTTTAATGTTCGCTTTATATCTCCAATAGACAGATATACTATGCATGATTTGCTAGTTTTTGGTTTTGATCTGGCATCTTTAAATAAAGCCTATTTTGTAAAATAAATAAAAATAAAAACATTAAGGATCCTCGCACCAGTGCTAAATGGTAGGGAGGTAGGGGTTGGGGGCAGGGAGGGGATGACATGACTTTAACTTTGATACAATTGCCTATTCTGGCATGGGTATTCCGTCTTTTCGTATAGCAGAGTTATCTGCTCTTGTGAGCAGGTACTGATTGTTACGTCATTTGTTTGTGTGAGAAAATTACGTCGTTTTCTCAAAAAATTAGGACGTTACTCTCACAAATGACCTTATACTCAATACCTGCTCACAAGAGCAGATAACTCTGCAATACGAAAAGACGGAATAGCTTTGATAAACAGTGTCTGAAAAGAAAACAAATACCTTGGCGGACACTAATAAGAAATAATATATAATAAAGATGATAGTAAGTAAATATCACCAACAAGAGTGTTATGGGTGGGACTAGACCGGGAAACATGGATTTCAAAATATTGTATTTTCACTCTATCCCATAGAGATACCATCATTGATATCATTTGAAGATTACAAAGGGGCGATACCCGACGTCAAATTTTATTCTTTTTTACAGTTACGCGACCGCGAGATTCTTTTGATGTACATCAAAGCAGTCGAACATATCTTCTCGTCTCATCAACAAGGTGGTGCACACTGAGCCTTCAATTTTGCTATGACATATTCCAGGGGTGTAGAGCGCCAAAGTGAGCGTAATCCCTGGATATTGAGGATGTAGAGATACCTGGTCGACGGAAATGTCCTGGCCGTATTGTGCTACAGTGACATCACAACGAACGTTAAGGGGAGGTAACTGTATATAGGAAAAGGACGGTACAGTAAGACAAGGATCCTTAAAAATCTTTAAGCTAAAGTTCTGATATTGTTTGAAGATATGTTAGCGAACATATTTGTATTTTGAACGAAACAAATCAACAGAAAAAAGTAAAGAACAACAGTTTCTCCAGGTCTCATCTTACTATCAGTTTTTAATGTGATAATTTTCAACAAAAAGGATACAATTATCTCTTGTTTTCTTTCCAGACAGTAGAATATTAATACAGAATATGGCACATAAATAAAATAGAAAATAGAAATACAATAATAAAATTACAGTCAAAACTGTCCAATCCGACAATTTGTTGGACACAAAAGATTGGTCAGATATACATGTATAATATGACACTATATGCAGCACAACTATTGATCAAATAAAACTGTCTTATCCGACACTCTGTGGAGTGAAATGACAGGAAAAATCACCTGGCCAATCTGAAACATTCAATGGGGACTTTTTTTCATTGGATTATTAAGATGGAACATCGCCATACACAGGGCCGGTATGAGACATGTTGTCGAAATACTCAGTGCCTAGATTAGACAGGATCTCCTCAAACATAGATATCTGATTAAAAAATGTCGAAATATTTATAGCAGGATATCGGATAATTTTAGGTCAGATTAGACAAGCGGTAGGAATTCCCAATGGTCGAAATAAACAGGTTTCACTGTAGTATACTGACATATGTACATATTTCATAAAACGGCGTCCATTTTTTCACGTATTTCGGGTTCTTAGGATACAAAAAAGATAATAATGAGATAAAAATTAAAAATTAAAATAATTTGGAGATATTGTCCTTAGACATGAGGACCTTATACGTATACAGGTGACATCTATGGAGAGATTTTACGATGATGTCGTTTGTGTATTACTTTTCTACGCTTTGAAATTATCTCAAAAGGTATTTGCATATACATATATATTGTATAGTTTCATTCATGATATATAACAAGACAGTAAAATCATAAACAATATGTTGAATTGAAGTTGAATCTGATAAAAAAAAGATCCATTAACATCGTTACCCTGTTCTTTTCTAAACAAATTTGAGTAATATATAATAAAAATCAGGTCAGCATGTGTAACCCTTCTTCCATATACAAAGGACATGTCACCTTGATTTAAGAGGTATTCAAAAGTCAGCTTCATCTCCAACAATAACACTACTATATTGAATAGTGGTACCGGCCACATTGGTTTTTTCCGGGTACTCCGGTTTCCTCCCACACTAAAACCCCCCGCGCGCTGACATCCGGGCCAACAAGAGTTATTAATATAAGTTGATATAGCTTGTTTCATAAATGTTGTAAAAAAATAAAGTTTATATTTTGGCATTACGTTTAGTGCTATTTTTCTTTAGAACACAATGGTACGTAAATTAAGGAAAATTATTAGAAATATTCAAAATCAAAATTACTGTAGCGTTTGATGAAATTCAAAAAATATATATAACATAATTCTCTTTAAAACAATAAAAGATATATCATCAAAAATACCAAAATATTGTCAATCCATAAATGTGAGACCTGCAAATGTATTTATGAACCAACGTATATGATATCAAAATAATAAAAAATAACGATATTCGGGATATTTTCCTCCTTCATACAGGAAAAATGACAGAAATATTTGTACATAGATAAAGATGGGAACAAATGTTTCACAGCGAAAGATATATACGAATACTTCGATTAAATTGTCTATTGGCAACGGAGATTTTCCAAAATAGAAATCCAATGTTTGATTGAGACAGGTGGTACACTATACCTAGTAAAATATATGTACAAACAATTTCATTAACATCAACAATTATAAATTGTTCATAATACTGTTGATCCAATGTAACCACCGAACTGTATACTTGCCACGCAGCGTTTTAACATTTTTTCTGAAATTGAGTCGATCGATTCAATTTTGCGATCATTTATTTACATGTTAGCAGCAAAGTTCTGATTCTATAATAATGTAAACAAGATTCACCCCTCAAAACATAGTGAACCTGGTCTAACATATACTGGTTAGTTTGGTCAAATGTAATATCTGAGGGGTAGGCTTTTGTCGTGTGTCCCGAAGTTCAAAGAAGTATTGTAGCATTGCTTTATCAAACTCTAAACTCAATAAAAAGTGGGCGTTAGCACATTAAAATAAGTGAAATTCAATATCTGTACCGAATGAATTAAACTCATTTGAAGAACCGAATGCTGAAAATAAATATTGACAAAAATTAAGTTAACTGACATTGGAAAGATTAACAGTGACCAAAGCTGACGTAAATGCAGCGATATAGCACGAACTATCCTCGGAATCAACCTCATTAATTATAAGTTCATCCGGGCTGTTTCTCTACTAATATCTGATGGCAGAATGTATAATAGCGTTTCAAAGGAAAATAACCCGAGACATAGAGTATTCGATATAATGCATATTTTTCGGGTTCTACAAATATATATATAAAAAAAAGACAATTTATGGTTGCTTCCAGGGTCATCTACATAGAAATTAGAAATTCTAAGAAATCGTCCTTAATATCATACAGACATTTAATACGGCGGTGACACAGGGTCAATGACATATGTTCCGATTTTCTTAATTTCCAAAAAGAAAACCAATCGACATTTACATTTCAAGCAAAGCATATCAAAATTATTGATTGCTAAATTAGACAAAATTTAATTTCGATTGAAATCAAACATTTGTTTGACTGATTGACTAATTAAAAGAAAAATTGTCGAAATAAAAATGATCGAAATAAATTAAGAAAAATGTATTCGGATGTTTTTAGTCTCCATGGTAAGTTTGCATTATATTTTACTCGGAGATAGGCCTCATTCGTAAACTATGAGACAGTTCATTCAGAGTGTGATCCATGTTCACGAAACTGCTGTTCCGAACACCTTCCTTCCGGTACACTTGCACCATCTGTTTCCGGATGTTATCAGAGCTCACCTGTCGAATTTTGGGGAGAGGACATAGAATATCGGTGTCGGAAACAGTATCGGAAGTTGTCGGAGCTTCCCGAGTGATAGCGGACGAAACGACTTTCATTCGGATCCAGTTTTTACCGTTCACGTCCTCGTCCTGTCCTGTAGCCGTCTCGATGGCATCTAACAGGGATTGCAAATTCTTGATAACAGACTCCGCATGAGGGGTTATATCAATGTGTACCTCTTCCTCCTCTGCCTTCTGGCCGTAACTTTCCATAAGTCGCTGCAGATCCGACTGTCCCTCCAAAAGGCGCGTGCGCGATTTCTCGGCGCGGCCCGACTTGATTTCCTCGGCGGCCTTACTAACGGCAATCTGGGATACAATGCGAGCCTCGTGCATGTAGATATCTTCTAGTGCCTCCTTCTTCTTCGCGAGGTCAGTCGTCATCAAGTCAGCTAGAGTTACGTCCTTTATGACAGTACGACGCTTACCAGATATACCAGTGAAATTTATAGTAGCAGTCAAAACCTTAACTTCCGGATTCTGGCTCGCTCTCGACAGGTCAATTACGATCCCCACGTGTTTTTCCGAAGCTGCGGGGATATCATAAAAGAAATAAGCCTTTTGCGTTTTTTCGCCGTCTGTTGTTTTAGGTCCTCGCAGTCTGACCTTGTTCTCTTGAGTACAATCGGCGTTGACGATAGTCGCACCGTTCAGAGATTGGACATGAAGGGCAACATTCCACGCAATAGCAGTCTTGCGCATCATAACCGGAAGAAAAAAATCAACTTCCGCTTGAGAAGTTGCCTTTTCGGTGTCAAGTTGATAGAAAGCATCGCTGCTACAGAATTTCGACAGTGAGTGCATGATCTCGGTGGAGTTACTTCCGGTCACTACGGTGGAAATGGACACCCACTGGTTCTGTGTATAATCAAGGCCGAACGACATCGCACGGATCTTCTCGCGAACTTCATGCACCAATCGCTGTGGTTCCTGTGTACCAAGGTTGATCTCCCCGTCCGAAAAGACGATGATGCTGTTCCGGTAACCCAGAAGGTCATCTTGGCTGTAAGTAAACACAGAAGATACATTGGTAAATAATGCGTAAACAAAGCGCACGTGAGCGTGTGTGGTTCCTGATGATAACAACTATTATTGAAACTTTCGTTCCAATTCACTTACGTTAACTATAATCAAATGCTGATTGTAATGGCGGCCGTTACAAAAGTCCCTAAAACGATCCCGTAGACGTAATTGATGATAAAGGAACTCCTGATTGTATTAGCATGATCAAATTTGATAGAAATCGGTAAATATCTTAATTTCGACCAATCATAGGCAATGATGGAAATAGAGCATGCGCAGTTGCTAAGAAAAAGGTTTGAAACGATGAAAATGCGATCGGACTGGCTACCATTTTGAAAATATAATTTTTTCCCTGAGCATTTTTGACGAAAACGAATCTGTCAGTGATATTTAGCATTGTTGAGCCGTTGTGGTGTCACATCTGGACAACTCTTTCTTACACACAGAATAAAAGAAAACATAGTATATAGATAAAACAGAGTTGAAAAAAATGAGTTATTGTCCTGAGAAGTTTACTGTCCAGTAATACGGTCAAAAATATGTTTCTGTTCACCAAACTAGATTTTAGTAGCCTCTTGGCTCAAGAAATTCTAAGACCAGATTCAAATTTTAAAAAAACTCTTTCGATTTTAGTCCCTTACTAGCAATCAAGGAATTAGTTTGTTCATATGCTCTGTTGAGTCAACGACAAACTCAAAATTCCATGAACATAATTAAGAATGAATTCCTACAAGAAATGTCACTCTTAAGCGGTCCATTTCATTGCACATCGTTTTTTTTTATCCCGAAATTACTTCTCTAATTTCACATACATGTAGTTACAAGAAAATACTACGGTTATTTACTGGACTGGTTTGTAATGCTAGGTTCCTACTGTCGTGCGATCCGTTACGAACGCCACGATTGGCCATTCGTAGCTGATCGTGGAATTTCTCTGACATTTCAGGTTTGGATACGAGGTGATGCGAGTCGATACGTTCTGATACGATTTGTTGCGCTCGGAGGCGATCTGGTCACGATTTGTCAATTCCAGGTGTCACGGTCTGTCACGGTCTGATCTTTTGTTCAGAGTTTCGATAGGAATGTTTCGATCGAGTCCACGATTTGATCTTGATCTGACACGATCATCACGATCGGGTTCCCCGAATTGGGACGATCTGGTACGTGCAGATACGTTTCGGTAAGTTCATCACGAACTGATGCGCTCCCTTACGATAGGATACGATTTTAGTAGGGATGTCTTTCACGATCATGATCGAGGGCGATCACGATTTGAGCTACGACTGGACCCCGACGGGTATATATACAACCGAGTGGCCATGAACTTTATTGTTTATTGAACTTTAACAGAGTTTTACAAAGTTTTCAAATTCTTTTTTATTGATGTTGAAATGAGTATCTATGGAGTAAAGGGTTATATATAGGTGACATGTCAAATATCAAATTACATACACATCTCAGTGTAGCATCAAATAAATATTCATGCAGACAAGGAAGTGAACGACTTTCGTTTTACTTTTTATCTATTTTATTTTTTGTTATCAGAACATATTGTTCTATTGTGAGGAAGTGAACATAGGCTCAAAAAATTACTAGCAAAGGCAGGTCACTAAGATGTGCTCTCTTCAAGAGTAGATCGCTGAATGAGACGCATTACATTTTGTCCGGTATATATATGGGCACGACAACTCGTAACAGATCGTGATCGTTCGTGTAAAAACGTAACTACTCGTATCTACTCGCATTTACTCGTATCTACTCGTGAGTCATTTGTGTCATGACTTGAGCAATGGGACCCGACAGATCGTGAGAGATCGCAACACATCTCAACAGGGCGTGGTGTTTGTCTTGTCTAAGATCGATCCCGATCACCACGATTTGGAAGCACGATAAAATGCGATCTGTCGCGCTTTGTTACGAAGCAATACGATATGATAGATGATCCCGATTGACAATTGGTTGTGTTGATCGTAGACAAATTTTGAACCGTTCAAACAGTGTCTCCGATTAATACGATTGCCACGACTGACCCAAAGATCTGATAATTTGTTTCCGGTATGAATTAAGCTTTGATAAATCATTTCTGAAAAGATAGTTATGCCTTGAGGGATTTTTTGAGAAATAATATCTCCGATTGAACAAAAACAAAATAATCAACAACTGTTTTTTGTTCTAAATGAATTTATTTTTTAGCGGGGCTAGACCTGGATTTTAGATTGATATACTTTCGCTTTAACCGACCGGGCCACCTGGTCAGCGGCTTTGACCGACTGTGCTACAGATACATCCAGACGGAAGCTAAGGGGAGGTAACTGTTTTAGAGAAGAAAAAAACACAATGCAGTTGGACTGTGCTCCTTATGCTATATATCTATGACGGACACACACCTTTTACAGACCCGGCCAAATACGTCAAGGGAGGTAAGTATACCAGCACTTAGATCTGTCTTTTTCGACAGGAAGGACTTGTCCAACTCCTCCAGTTGACTGGTTAATGTGTCCTATAAATAGACAAACCGGAAACGGAAATACCTAATTAATGTCACATCCGGTACACAATTTTACCAAAAAAAAGCATGAGGAATCGATGTATCTTGTCCAATTGTTAAAAGTTTTATATAAGGATTAACGGATGAAATGACAGAGGATATGTAAAACAAAGTGTATAAAACAAAATTGTTAGTCTCTGCAATTTCTTGATATTTCCATGTCAACTTTATGCGAACAGTTTAGCCATGAACAGAGACTGTTTCAATATCTTTCAAAAAAATTGCGTCAACATTTTAAATTGGGAGTGATTTCGCCGATTTAACCTAGATAAAACAATAATAAATTATCTCAATTCTCCCTAGAACGTTAGACAAGAATTTCGTATTTTAGTTTTCCACTATCGGACGATTATAAAACATTACCAGCGTTCGTGGATTGATCTCTGACATGGGCAACAGAACGTTTGAATCTTCTCCAAAAGTCACTAGCGCCGCCTGATCTCCGTCGTCTAGAGTCTTCACCATTGATATCACGAACGATTTCAAGTGGTTAAGTTTACTTCTTCGCCTCCTCCCGACTTTAATGCCCATACTTCCGCTAGTATCTACCAGTAGTAGTATTCTGGCCGGAAGTGGCTTCACCACATCTTGGTGGGCTGTCGTAAGCTCTAGGACAACTTTCCCCTTTAAGTGTATAAAACGACTTATCAAAATCATGTTTCTTATTTCTAAATGATATGTTCGGACAATATCTGATGATGTTTTGTTTATATAACTAAATGTTGGTAATTGTGAGATTTGAGAAAACATTAGTCTAACCATTATTTCGGTAAGTCATGGAAAAAAACTAATATCCATTTGAACAGTTTCAGGGATCAAATGCATTCAAAGCTTTGAGTCAGATCCTTCATATGGAAGAAGAAGAACAGAACTTACAATGCACTATCAGCGGATTCCAACCCTGCACCACTTAAGTTGTTAAGAGTTATCGATTTTATTCTTTTAATAAATTTCTCATATACCATTAAGAAACGAAACACACAATTTATAATATTTGTTTGGCACATAATTTGAGTCGATCACTGCAATTAAGTTATCAATGACCTGACCTTTGACCTTATGTCGTATGCTAAGTTACAAACCTTCCCTTCTGTTTCAAGGCACGAAACATTCAACTCCACCTCGTGGTCACCGGAGTTGTCTTCTGCTATTTTTGTGACGTGTTGAGTTGTCTCCCCTTCGATCAAACTTGGTTGTGGTCTTGGTATATTTTTTATCTGTCTGCTTGGTAAATCCGGGGCCTCTTCGTCCGGAATGGAGTTTGGTCGCAATGGCATTACCTTTTGTCCTCCGGTTGCTAAACAGTAAGAAATATGTAATTGAAATAAAATAAAATGAAAACCATTTGTTTCCCGGAATACTTTGAATAAATTATGTCGATTGATGGCATCATTCTTTGCAATAAAGTCCTGACATTCTATATCTTTAAAATTATATTTTGTTTTATCTTGTTTATTTTATTATTCTATTTTTTAAATATCTTTTTTCAGTATAATTGTGTGTATATGTTGGCTATTGTGTCTTAAAAGTTGGTTAAGTAAACCGATGAAAGTGAGGATTTGGACTACACATCACTTTTCGTTCGCTTCAAAATCCAGTCTCGATTTGATGTTAGTTGTACCAGAGCCATTGGATTTATATGCGTGGTAACAAAACGAAATACACTTACAATCAGTGTAACAGTACCGTTTACTTAACTAAATAAACCGCAGAAATAGTCTGTGTTTGTTCTTTGTCTAAAATGATAGCTTAAACTGCGGGCGCTTCCTTAGTTACGGTATGAATAACATGTTGAGTAATTTTGGAGGTTATTTTACTGGTCGTATTTATAAAAACTATTGAACCACATAAAAATAACAACAATTTTCTCTTTATTTTCATAAATAGTGATATATATATATTTCGTGTGGTTGGGTGGCGCAGTGGATAGCGCACTTGCCTTTCACCAAGGCGACTGGGGTTCGATTCACCGATCGGACGTGAAAAGGTATGGGGTCACATGCCCGACCACGTGGGTTTTCACCGGGTTCTCCGGTTTCCTCCCACAGTAAGACCCCCCGCACGGTAACATACGGGTTAACAAGAGTGATTGATATAAGTTGTAAAAACTTGTTTCATAATTGTTGTTAAATAAATAAAGTTTACAAATTTATATATATGTATATAATATATCATCGAAACTAATGTCTAAAAACATGCGAGGTTAAACGGATGACGAAGGGTTAGCGGTTGGTGTCTTAGTTAGGGAGGAATTTGAGACTGTGATCAGCAAGCTATAGCTAAAACTTTCGTCGTGTTCACAAACAAATTCAGAAAAGGGAAATAACTCGCATAAAAAATGAAACAAAGAAAATATACTTCAACGTACAACAGGCCAAGATACCTATCACGAAGTCCAAAATTCATAAATATCAGCCCCGAAGGTAAACGAGGGTACTTCTGAAGTAATATGGGGATGTGTTTCCATTCACTATGCATGCAAGTATAGGAATCTTCAAACTGAAAACAGTGTTCATGATACTATGAAAACAGAAAAAAATTTACACGCACAGGTGTTTTGAGTCATTTATATATTTGTCGATGCGGCGTTTGATAGCCGATGATCTTTAGTGAGCCTGAAGTTTGTTCCTGGTTCCTAGTTCCGTTTAAGAAAACCACCGGAACTGGGAAACAGACCCTAGTTCCGTTAAAGAAAACCACCGGAATGGGAACCAGATCCTAGTTCCGTTTAAGAAAAACAGAACTTGAAACTAGATCGTAATTCCGTTTAGGATAAACGAAAATGGGAACAATATCCTAGTTTCCTTTCAGAAAAATGGAAATTGAAACCATATCCTAGTTCTGTTTAAGAGAAACATGATTGGGAACCACATCCTGGTTCTGTTTCAGAGAAACAGGACTGGGAAACAGATCATAATTCCGTTTAAGAGAAACAGAACTGGGAACCATATCCTAGTTCTGTTTAAGAGAACCAGGACTGGGTACCAGATCATAGTTCTGTTTAAGAGCAGTATTGGGAACTAGATACTATTTCTGTTTAAGAGCAGTATTGGAAACCAGATCCTAGTTATGCATAAGATAAACAGAACTGGGAACCATATCCTAGTTCTGTTTAAGAGAAACATGACTGGAAACATTATCCTAGTTCTGTTTAAGAGAAACAGGACTGGAAACCATATCCTAGTTCTGTTTTAGAGAAATAGGACTAGATACCAAATTCTAGTTATGTATAAGAGAAACAGGACTGGGAACCAGATCCTTATTCAGTTTGAGAGAAAACATGATTTGGAACCAGATCCTAGTTCTGTTTAAGAGAAACAGGACTGGGATCCATATCCTAGTTCTGTTTAGGAGAAACAGCACTGGGAACCATCGCCTAGTTTTGTTTAGGAGAAACAGGACTGGGAACCATATCCTTGTTCTGTTTTAGAGAAATAGGACGCGAAACCAGAACCTAGTTCTGTTTAAGAACAGGATTGGGAACATTATCCTAGTTCTGTTTAAGAGAAACAGGACTGGAAACCATATCCTAGTTCTGTTTTAGAGACATAGGACTAGATACCAGATCCTAGTTATGTATAAGAGAATCAGAACTGGGAACCAGATCCTATTTCCGTTTCAGAGAAACAGAACTGTGAACCATATCCTAGTTCTGTTTAGGAGAAACATGACTGGGAACCAGATCCTAGTTCCTTTTAAAAAAAACACGATTGGGAACCAGTTCCTAGTTCAGTTTAAGAGAAACAGAACTGGGACCCATATCCTAGTTCTGTTTAGGAGAAACAGGACTGGGAACCAGATCCTAGTTCAGTTTAAGAGAAAACATGATTTGGAACCAGATCCTAGTTCTGTTTAAGAGAATCAGAACTGGGAACCAGTTCCTATTTCCGTTTCAGAGAACCAGAACTGTGAACCATATCCTAGTTTTGTTTAAGAGAAACAGGACTTGAAACTATATCCTAGTTCTGTTTAGGAGAAACAGGACTGGGAACCATATCCTAGTTATGTATAAGAGAATCAGAACTGGGAACCAGATCCTATTTCCGTTTCAGAGAAACAGACCTGTAAACCATATCCTAGTTCTGTTTAAGAGCAGGATTGGGAACTAGATACTATTTCTGTTTAAGAGAAACAGGACTGGGAACCAGATCCAAGTTCTGTTTAAGTGAAACATGACTGGGAACCAGACCATAGTTCTGTTGAAGAGAAACAGGACTGGGAACATTATCCTTGTTTTGTTTCAAAAAAAAACATGATTGGGAACCAGATCATAGTTCTGTTTAAAAAAAACATGATTGGGAACCAGATCCTAGTTCTGTTTAAGAGAAACAGGACTGGGAACCATATCCTGGTTCTGTTTAAGAGAAACAGGACTGGGATCCATATCCTAGTTCTGTTTAGGAGAAACAGCACTGGGAACCATCGCCTAGTTCTGTTTAGGAGAAACAGGACTGGGAACCATATCCTAGTTCTGTTTAAGAACAGGATTGGGAACTAGATCCTATTTCCGTTTCAGGGAAACAGAACTGTGAACCATATCCTAGTTCTGTTTAAGAGAAACAAGACTTGGAACTATATCCTAGTTCCGTTTAAGAGAAACATGACTGGGAACAATATCCTAGTTCTGTTTAAGTGAAATAGGACTAGAAATAAGATCCTAGTAATGTATAAGAGAATCAGAACTGAAAACAAGATCCTAGTTCCGTTTAAGAGAAACAGAACTGTGAACCTTATCCTAGTTCTGTTTAAGAGAAACAGACTGGGAACAATATCCTAGTTCCGTTTAACAAATACAGGACTGGGAGCCAGATCCTAGTTATGTTTAAGCGAAACATGACTGGGAACCATATTCTAGCTATGTTTAAGAGATACAGAACTGGGAATCAGATCATGCTCCTATTTAAGAGAAACAGAACTGGAAACCAAATCCTAGTGCTATCAATAGGAACAGGACTGGGAACCGACTCCTCGCTCCGTTCAAGGGAAACAGAACTGGGAACCAGCGCCTAGTTTTTTGAAGAGAACATAACTGTGAACGTTATCCTAGTTCTGTTTAAGTGCAGTATTGGGAACTAGATCCTATTTCCATTTAAGAGAAACATGACTTAGAACCATATCCTTGTTTTGTTTAAAAGAAACAGGACTGGAAACCAGACCATAGTTCTGTTGAAGAGAAACAGGCCACAGAACCATATCCTTTTTCCGTTTAAGAGAAACATGACTGATAACCATATCCTTGTTTTGTTTAAAAAAACATGATTGGGAACCAGATCCTCGTTCAGTTTAAAAAAGCATGTTTGAGAACCAGATCCAAGTTCTGTTTAAGAGAAACAGGACTGGGAACAATATCCTAGTTCCGTTTAAGAGAAACAGGACTGGGAACCAGATCCTACTTCCTTTAAAAAAACACGATTGGGAACCAGTTCCTAGTTCTGTTTAAGAGAAACAGAACTGGGACCCATATCCTAGTTCTGTTTAGGAGAAACAGGACTGGGAACCAGATCCTAGTTCAGTTTAAGAGAAAACATGATTTGGAACCAGATCCTAGTTCTGTTTAAGAGAAACAGGACTGGATTCCATATCCTAGTTTTGTTTAGGAGAAACAGCACTGGGAACCATCGCCTAGTTATGTTAAGGAGAAACAGGACTGGGAACCATATCCTAGTTATGTTTTAGAGAAACAGGACGCGAAACCAGAACCTAGTTCTGTTTAAGAACAGGATTGGGAACTAGATCCTATTTCTGTTTAAGAGAAACAGGACTGGAAACCAGATACTAGTTCTGTTTAAGAGAAACATGACCGGGAACCAAATCATATTTCTGTTGAAGAGAAACAGAACTGGGAACCAGCTTCTAGGTCTGTTTAAGAGAATCTTGACTGGGAACCAGAGCCTAGTTCTGTTCAAGAGAAACAGAACTGGGAACCATATCATAGTTCTTTTTTAAGAGAAACAGGACTGGGAACCATATCCTAGTTCTGTTTAAGAGAAACAGAACTGGGAACAATATCCTAGTTCCGTTTAACAAATTCAGGACTGGGAACCATATCCTAGTTCTGTTTTAGAGAAACTAAACTTGATCTTGGGAACTTGATCCTATTTCTGTTTAAGAGAACAGGACTGGAAACCAGATACTATTTCTGTTTAAGAGAAACATGACTGGGAACCAAATCATATATCTGTTGAAGAGAAACATGACTGGGAACCAAATCATATTTCTGTTGAAGAAAACAGAACTGGGAACCAGCTTCTAGGTCTGTTTAAGAGAATCTTGACTGGGAACCAAAGCCTAGTTCTG